GCCATTTTATAGCTCTCTGTCAGTAGTGAATCTGGGCAAATTGTAGAGGTACATGTCATAAACATTCTTTACTGATGAAACTGCATTATATTGCTGTCTTTTGGGTTTTCAAGTAGCTAAATCTATGCTCTTCCCTCCCAGATACTTAGTTAAATCCTGTTCATAGATAACTTTGAGTGAGGGTCCAATGTATGTAGTTTTGAGGAAAGGAAAGAGCTTTTCCAGTCATCAGTTCTTATAATGATCAAAGAAACAGCTGTCACCCTTCTAGAACAATCCTCTCAAGGACTGATAAAGGCATTGCTGCAATCACACAATCTCCTTCTGCTGGACTGTGAATATTTTAATACAATCAAGAGCCTATTTCATAGAACCAAGAAAGTAGAAGATGCTACTGACATTCAAGCTTACAGTACTTCACAAATCAATTTTATTAATTTAAACACAAAACTGATGAGGAAAAATTCTGTACACAATTGCGGACACAACACACCTTTATACAGTAAGGCCAAGATAAACTTTGTCTTTTCAGTCTGCAGGGTACAAAAACGTGAAAGGTTAAAAAAATTGTCATCTTCTGTTTGTGTCAGGCAAAGACAGAAAACAACAAACCCTAACTCAATTGTTAAACAGTTTGGAGAATTCACCAATGACTCATTCTAGCAGCAGCATAAAACTTCAGGAAAAGATGGAATAGTTCTTTAGCTACTCTGGGTCAAAGCTGGTATTTTTTCTCAACACAATATGAAAGAAAATTCATCCCAGGAGTAATTTCATGACAACAGGAAGCTTTAGAAGAGAGAAACTCATGCCCAGACATTTTTGGAGAAACTTTCTTGTACGACAGGGATGACAATTTTTATTTCCCAGATTTATGCTTGCCATGTAATATATAATATAGGTAAAAAGTAATATTTCCTTAGTGCTGATGACTGGGCCACGTCCACTATTAGCAATGGATTTTCCTCTGGGCAGAGAGGAGGATAGACTATGAAGCAGAAACTAATGCAAAGGTTTTCTGCTTTCCAGATACATGCTAATGTCCTACTTTACCTCAACAACAAAATGCAGACACAGTAAGAATTCCGAGCACATGGAGACTTTGCTAGTGTCCAATTCATGAACTGTTTTTATTAATAAAATATATCTATCATCTATACTCTTTCTGGGAAGAAACATTTGAATAATCTTTTTTTTTTTCAAGTAGTTACATATAATACATTAGTCTTGCAATGTAAAAGGTGGTAAGAGAATTGTTAAATTACTTAAGAAACTGCTCTGGGTTTGTTTTGATGTTGTTTTGTTTGTTTGTTTGTTTTTTAAATCAGGGCCCTCCTAAATGTATTTTAAGATTTCAGATTGAAGAACTGAAGGAAAAAAAATTTGGAAAACAAAATCCTTATTGACACTTAACATCCATGCTTTTGGTCTTGACAACATTATCTAAAAAAACAACAACAACAACAAAAAAATCCATTATCTACATATTTATACCCAACACTTGAGTAAGGCACTGCACTTGAGTTTGGGCAGAGAATGCCTCACTCTGCTCTCAAGGCATTGCTACCTCTTGATATCATTTTTCTAAACAATATGTAAAAGAATCATTATTACAAATTTACACCAAAAATTCTTTCTGTACATGATTGTCTCAGTGATGTACATATTACACGTTTAAATTAGACATACTTTAAACTACTTTGCAATGTGCTAAAATCAAAGTACTTGCCATATCAGGAGGCAAAGGCCTTCAATCACTTATTTCTTATGCTATTATCTTTTTCAATTATTTGATGTCAAAAAAGTCTGGGTGAATTGTACGGTATGTAAATTATACCTCCATAAAGCTGTTTTTTTTTTTTTTTTAAAAAAAAGTCTGTTCATAAATAAGTAGAGATGTACAGATTACCCTGGGTATGAGACACCAAAAAGTAAACCTTCTTTACAAGAAAATTCCTCCACTGATATTCAAGAAACACATTTCAGTCTGTGTTGTGCAATCAAGTTTGCTGTATTGGAGAAGCTGTTTACATCACATTGAAAAATGCTAAAAACTGAAGCATTTCCAGGTCCTTTCTTCACAGGTTTGAACCATGTAGTTAATCTGGCAAAGACACATCCCTCTGTGCTAGAACATTCTGATGGCTTATTTTCATTGAATTCACAGTACTAGAGTCAACAGCTGTTCTGAAGAAACAGACATGGCCCTCCCTGTGCCACAAGGACAGAAGGCAAGACCAACAGCAGTTGCATGTCCGTATGTTGAAATCGCTCAGTTCTGGAGTCCAGGGCTGACATGAGACTTGGGCCTGTTGGATTTGTCCCTTGTTGCAGGGCAGTTGTGTGGTTTCAAAGTGCCATGCAGAGGTTACAGGTACTCCAGTTCCAAGGCATGATGTAAGGCCATGAGGTCCGAGTGGCTGGAGATCCTCCAGAAGGGCATAGCGTGCTGCGGGGAACAGAGAGCCATGGTGAGGACAGACAGCATGTCCGGCACAAGCCCTCCGGATGCTTTCTCGAATCCACTCGAGTGCTCAGCCCTTTTACATATACTGTGCAAACAGCCAGTTAACATCTTAACATTACATATCCAAGCTTAAACTTCCCCTAAGAATACTGAGCTTTTAAGTGTAATCTAGAGTCTGTTTCTTCTAAGAAGGTAGTGAATGTTTTTAAACTAGATCTACTCTGTGATTTGAATGCTGTTTCTAGACTTTAAATAAAACAGGTGCAATTAAGGAAGCTTTGCTGAAAATTGCTGCCTTTCAAAATCTATATTCAGTGAACTTTAATGTTGAAAAGAAATTTTAAATAATTACTTAAACTTATTTTAATTTTACTAGAGATGGACAGAATGAGAGATAGAGAGAGAGGGAAAGTAGTAAAGCAAGTCTCCAGGTCTGGGACTCAAACCACAATTGGCCATGTGGGAGTCCAGCACCCTTAACCCCCACTTCACTTGCCGGTCCCAATGTTTAAAAAGTTTAAATGCTTGTATTTTAGGAGTTTAAACAGTTTTCCTTAGATGCGAGTATTTTACATTTTTCCCAAACGACCTGGGCTTATGTATGAAGCAACATTTTTTCTATTTATTTTCATCAATTTTGTTTCATGCAGATCTTAAAATAGCTTCAATGAACAGAAAAAATTATCAATGAACAGGTCTTTTGTTGTTATTGTTTGCAGTTAAACTATTGATATAAAAATCTAGTTTAAATTATGGGATGTGTATGAAACCTGTGAATAAACCAAAGATGAGGAAAGTAGGAAGAACAGGTTACCTCATCCATGAAGGGTAAAAACACAATGCTAAAGTTTCACTGCTCAAAAGCACTATAATAAATACTTATGCTTCAACAGTTTTTTTTTTAAAAAAAAAAAAAACAAAAATCATCTTTCAGAGGAAAATTCTGTTTAGCCCATAGATAATAGGTTTTACACACACACATACAATAATATGGAGGTCAGAAGAATTTGCAATTGTAGTTCTAAAGCATTTGGGAAAATTTTCAGACTAAGAAGAAGCTGGCATGGAAGCAAACAGTAGAAGTGTGTGTGTGGGTGTGTATTATCCTGCAGATAACAGTACAAGCTACTCAATATTTTGATACAATCACATAGCTATTATCTACTGGGATGCCAAGTATTTAGTTATTAAGAATGTCCTTGTCTCAAATCATGTAGTACATTTTTTGAGAGACTTTTTGCTATAGGGTACATGCACTTGTTAGAGAGACTGAGAGAAAGTGAGAACCCCCCCACATACTCCCCGCCCAGGGAGGATGGTCAAGCCAAAATCTCTTCTCCTCTATTCTTCTCTCAGGATTTTGGACATGCATGCACATGTGTCCAGTGTGAGTTTCAAGTTGCCAGGTCCAGGACTCAAACTACAGTCAGCCATGTGAGAATCCAGTGCCTTAACCACTATGCCACCTGCTGGTCTCAATATATCACATTCTAGTATCAAATATAGACCTTTATAGATTCAATTCTATTGGGTTGACTGAAAAGTCATGACAATTTTTCTATGTAAAAACGAGTCAAGACTTTTTTGTCAACCCAATATTTTGGAATATCGATTGCATATACCTTTGTTATCCTACAATAACAGATTAGTCTAGAGATGAGTATTAAAGTATTATAGAAGGATGCTTTTCTTGGCAACCTCGGATGGTAAGATTTACCATTGCATTAATTTACTCAGAAATGATTTGTTGGTTTACAGGCATGCTGTGCTATTGTAGAAAATCTAGAGATGTAGACAGACCTGGCTTGCCCTCTCAGTCAGTGGGTGAGAAGCAGAAAATACAATCATGAGTGTTCATCTCTGTGTTGCAAGAGGAGTATGAGGAAAGCAAATACATTTACCTAGAAAATGAAAGAAATGCCCATAGAGAGAGAATAGTTGAGCTAGATATGAAAAAAGGAGCATTCAGAAGAACACTCATATGACTATGTGGGTTGGGGGACAAAGATTGAAGGAAAAATTTATTTTACCATACAGGCTGAGTGTGAGAAAGAAGACATGGTTGGTGACATGACTGGCTGCTGGTGTCAGACGGTGTGTGACCTGATAAGCCCTGTTAAGGGGTTTATTAATAATAATGACAATTATAATTTATTAGGTATTATGTCAAGAAATATGCTAAGCAACCCAGAAATAGATAGGTGCTATTATCACTATTTTGCTGATGAAAACACTAAGGCTTAGAGAAGGAGCAGAGAGGTTTAAATAATAACTGGAAAGGAGTGAATTCTGTATACTCTAATGCCTTCTAATTGTTTTCCATGGTCTTTTTATTCAGTCATGTAAATTAAGAGCACTATGGCACAGTAAACACACACACACACACACACACACACACGTGATCACTCATCTATGCTCTGCTAGGTAAGTGACACTGGAAAATTTGAGTGACTATGATTTATAGATCTGAGTTTGGGAAGATGTTTGATCAGTTACAATGCAGAAAATCTTCCTTTTATTTTCTTTTTAGAAAAGAAATTTATGCATATTGTAAAATGTAGGACCATATAAAGAAATACAAATCATGGGGCCAGCAGGTGGCATAGTAGTTAAGGTGCTGGACTTCCACATGGACAATCGTGGTTCAAGTCTCTGACCTGGCAGCTTGAAACTCATGCCAGGCATGTGTGCATGCATGCCAAAAATCCTGAGAGGAGAATGGAGAAGATTGGTGGCCACCCCCACTCCCCAGGGTTGATTTCTTTCTCTCTCTCCATCTGTGTCTCTCCAGTGCGCGCACGTGCGCACACACACACACACACACACACACACACACACACACACACATATATATATATATATATATAGGAGAGGTTTTCACTATAGGGCGCGTGTGCTCCCCCGACAGACACAGAGAGACAGAGAGACAGAAAGCAAGAAATCACCCCCCAGAGGGGGTGGTCACACCACAATCCCTTCTCCTCCATTCTCCTCTGAGATCTTGGGCACGCATGCATACGCGCCTGGTGTGAGTTTTAAGCCACCGGGTCTGGGATGTGAACCGCGGTCGACTACGTGGGAGTCCAGCGACATAGCCATTATGCTAACTGCTGGTTCCTGCGCACACATATTTTATAGCAAAAATCTAACCCCCAAAAAAGAAATACAAATAACTTAACTTGTACATGAAAATAATCATCATAAACACTTCTCTAAATTTTCATATACAAAAACACTCAAATATACTTGAAAGTGTTTATTTACCATTCAGCATCCTATTACTATTACTATTTGAAAATAATAGTGAATGATTTTCTTTGAAGTATGCAAATATTCAACTATACTCTTTAGTATCTATTTTAAGTCTTTTCTTATTTCTAACTATCTTGTGATTTTTTTAGTTTATTACACTTACCAGTGATTTATTGCTTTTCTCCAAAGCTCCTTCTCCTCAAAACTCAATAAATGGGGATATAGAGTATTTCTGTTGATCTGGCATACCATTATTTTAGGATGTAACAAAGGATGCTGAAGGCTCATCAAAAATACATATAAAAATATTTGTGAGAGGTGGATGCTTTTTTTCAGAGTAGGTTCAGGGTTTAAAGTCAGACACATTCTTTATAAACTTGAAAGCTACTGGTGCACTCAGCAAATCATGTATTGAAGAATGCAGTAAGTAGGAGAAAAATTGAAAAGGAAACTAAAAATATCCAATTAATTCTCCAGTACACTGTTAAAGTGTAAACTCAGGATTTAATTCTTTAGTAAATAAAGAACTGGTTCAATGGCTGTGCGTCTCACTTCTATAGCTGTAGGGGTTGATGCCAGCCTAGAGCACACTGAAACTGTTTTTCTTTTAAATCATACTCTCATGCATCACTATCTGGAAAAGTGAGATTATCCACGAAGAGTCCCGAATTGCCTTGTTTATTGGCACTGAAATGCTAATGCTTTGGTCTTCCTATTAGAGTATTAACAAGAACCATATGGTCCGGCAGCCCCCTGACACAATGGTGAGAGGGCCATTCTTCTGAGCAAACATGCCCAAGGTTCTACAATGAGAATGGGCAGACGCTGGGGACACTCCCGTAAGAGGTCAGCAGCTCTATCTTCAGCATTGTCTTACAACATGAAGGTAGTGATGTCTGCACAATCCGCATCTCATTCTCACAAAAGTACTGGGCTTCTCTACGAAACGTGTGTTTAATGCGAAGTGGGTGGTTATAAGAGGATAGGTGACTCAAACTCCTGTTAACAAATAATTAGAACTAATGGCACTATCATAAGATTTCCCCTAATTAAGCACATATGAAGATTTTATGCATTTAAAAATTGGGATAAGTGAGTGCAGGGTAAACTGCTTTTGGCTAATCATATGGTATGATTCTAGCCACAAGAATACCTATTTCTTATATGAAATCAGAGAAATAGTGGCAGAAGAGGGAAAAAAGCATATGTTACAAGGAGGAAACCGGGTTAGAATCTCAGTTCTGAAAGTCACTATGTGACCTTCGATTATGGCAGAGTCTCCCTGGAGTGCTTGTTTCTTATCTATAAAATGAGGGCTTATGGGCCAGCCAGGTGGGATCGTGGTTAAGGTACTGGACTCCCACATGGCTGACTGTGGCTTGAGCCTGGATGCAGTGGGCTGAAAATCATGCTGGGTGTGTGTGTGTGCATACCCAAAATTCTGAGAGGAGAGTAGAGGAGAAGGGACTGAGGGGTGGACATCCCTCTTGCAAGATGATTTCTCACTTTCCCTCTCTCTCTCCTGCAAGCACACACTCCCTATGGCAAAAACCTAAAACTATAAGTAAATGAAGGTTTAGGGCAATGTCTCAGGTTTACCTCAAGGTTTAGTAAAGTCTGTGTGACTGTATTGCTATCCCCTGTATAGCACTGTAGTTAATATGAATATTTAATATATGACACTCAAAAGCTCTTGTTCCACTGCCAAGGACTGAACCTGATGAAACAAT